AGGGAGGGCACATCCTTCCTTGATCCATCCATCCCTAGGGACATAGCAGCTGCCTCCAGTTGCTAATCTCTGGATTTCCTCACTTTCCTCTATTTGCTCTTTCAGTTTTTCAAATCCCTGTGAATTATCTCCTGTATTAAATTTTCTTTTACTAATAAATATATTTATTAAAATTCTCCTTTACTAATTTCATATTTTCCAAGCTGGACCCTGATGGATAATTTATTTCAAGAGCCATGTGCAGAATCAAATTATTATGTGTAAAGTTAAAAATAGAAATTGTAAAACACATGATTTATTCTCCACCCTGGCTTCTAAGGAAGCTGCATCTGTTTTCCTCTTTGAAAGAATTCCTGAGAGATCCTCTTCTCTGTGGTTCCTTTCCCTGGTATTTTGTATGACTGAAGATAAGATTCTATCCAGAACTTAATCAGGAGTCAAAAAGCTAAGTCTGCTGACCTTGTCAAGATGTCAGCTATTCCTAAATGGATCTATAGATTTGACATAATTCCTGTCAAAATCCTAACAGGCTTTTTTATTTTTTCATGGAAATTAATGATCAATTTCAAATTTTGGATAGAAAAACAAAAGACCAAGAATGGCTAACACCCTCCTGAAGAAAAACAAGGCAGAAAAGACCTTTTCCACCCACTATCAAGACTTACTGAAAAGATACGACGAGGGGGCCAGAAGGTGGCATGGTGTTTAAGGCACTGGATCCCACATAACCGACAGCATGGTTCGAGTCCCAGACCCAAAAGTTTGAAAATCTCACCAGATGTGTGTGCATGTGTGTCCAAAATCCTGAAGGGATTGTGGCATGGCCATCCCTGTTCCCACTGTCCAGAAGGTGGGTGATTTCTCACTTTCTCTCCATCTCAGGTGAGCACATGCACCTGATAGCAATAAAATAAAATTTAAAAATAAATTAAAATGAAAAAGATATGACGAGGGGTGAGATGGTAGTGCAGTGATAAAACATGATGCTCTGTGAGGCAATCCCATGTGGCAAGGTTGCTGTTTCAAGTCTGGAGATGTCCCTGACTATGCCAGGTACGTACTTGCCTCTGATGGGGCTGAAGTTGGAGGTGCACTGCATCGAGACTGTGTTGAGGTGCTCTCTCTCCCTCTCACTCATGAGATCAATCAATCAATCAATCAACTTAAAAAAAAGATACAATGATAGAGAAAGTGGGGCACTGCTCCAAGGAACCCATAGATCAACGAAATGAAATGAACAAATATTCCAGAAGAGTCCAGAAACATGCACATATGAACCCTAGATATATTTTTTTTCAAAGTGACATCACAGAACAGGTAGGAAAGGGTGGCAACATCAATAAAAATTCCAGGACAACTGGATGATGATATGGTAAAAAACAGGAGTATCCCCCTATTTCATACCATGTCTATTCTAAGCCCTGGTCTCTATGAAAAACATTTGTTTTCCTCCTTCACCCTGCTTTGAGAGAATTCCTAAGGAATGCTTCTCTGAAGGCTTTTTCCCCTGGTACGTGGAGATCTAAAAGTGAAAGGCAAAATCATAAAATGTTTATAAAATTAAAAATAAAGTTAAATGATTTTTAATTAATTTAAAAAGGGGGGCAGCAGGTGGCATGGTGGTTAGGAGTACTGGAGTCCCACGTGGCTGACTGTGGTTCAAGTCCTAGACCTGGCACCTTGCTTCTTCTCTCTCTCTCTTTCTCTCTCTCTCTCTCTCTGTGTGTGTGTGTGTGTGTGTGTGTGTGTGTCTTGTTCTGCTCAAATTAAAAATAACAATAATTATAAATAAAATAAAGGAAATTTTTTAAAAAGTTTATAGAATAATGAAAATGAAAGAAGAAAGCTGGGCCAGCTAGGTGGCTTGGTGGTTAAGGCAAATGGATCCCACATGGCTAGCTATATGGTTCAAGTCCCAGACCTAGCAGCTTGTAAAACGCCAAGCACATGTGTGTGCTTGCCCAAAATCTTGAGAGGAGAATAGAGGAGAAGGGATTGCAGAGTGGCTATCTCCTCTGAAAGGTGCTTTCTCACCCCCACCCCATATCTCTCCCATGAGTGCACTTGTCCTATAGCGAATTAAAGGAAAAAAAGAAAAAAGAAAGCTAAGTCTGAATGTGGAAAAGCTAAGCCCATAGGCCAGAGATACCTTTTATTTTATTTCAAATCCATTGACAATAATGAAAGATCTTTCCTATATCAGGCACTGTCTTGATGAGTAATAACTGCAACTCATGTCCAGTCTGAGAAACCACAAGATGTTGTTAACATTGTTTCACCTTGTGCTTTTCCAGGGAGCAGGGTGAAAGAACATTACTGGAAAACCAGAATATATGTATTCCTAGAAGGTGGCAATTTTGAAGAACTATTGGCAATCAGAGTTTTTTTTTTTTTTTTAATGTTTTCAGAGAGCATGTATAGTCACCGGACAGAGATAGAAAGGGAGAAGAAAAGGAAGAAAGCACCCCCTATGAGGGATGGTCACATCATAATCCCTTCTCTGTTTCTCCTGTCAAGATTTTGGGCATGCATGCACATGCACCTGGTGTGTTTCTCAAGTAACTGGGTCTGGGATTATCAAACTGCAGACTGCCACATAAGATCCAGCTGCTTTAACTACCATGCCACTGGCTGGCCTCAATCAGAGCCCTTTTTTTAGAGACTTTTGGTATATGGCATATGCACTCACCAGAGAGGGACAGAGAGGCAAAAAGCAAGAAATCACCTCCCCTCCAGGGGAGATGGCCATGCCACAATCCCTTCTCCATTTTCCTCTCAGAATTTTGGGCACCCACACACATACATCTGGCATGAGTTGTAAGCTGCCAGGTCCGGGACTCAAACCGTTGTCAATCATTTGAGAGTCCAGAGATGTAACCATTATGCCATGATCAGAGCATTTTAAAGAGCTGCTGTAACCCTTACGTAATTCCAACAACTGAGGAAGAATACACAGATCTGCACTTAAGGAAAAGCCCTCTTTTTCCAGGCCCACCATTTTATAAAGGTTTGAAACAGTCTTTTTTGTGTGTGTGCCAAAACTTTCTTTTTTGTTTTATGTATTATATGTATTTCTTCTGGAATGGGGCATGCCCAGTAGGGTCTTTGCATTGTAATCCACCCCCAGTCTCGGTCAGCTAGAAGCATGGGTGCGTACACGTGAACGCAGACAGGAGACCTGGGTGTGACTCTGGCCTCAGCATTGTGGAGCCTCATGTCACCACTGCACCACGGGAGCTGACTCCTTGATTTAAAAGAATTTCAGATATCAGAAAGATGCAAAAATATTATAAAATTGTATGTATTTTCACCCTCATTCCCCAACTGTTAACAATCCCCCCCAGCATTCTCTTTCTTTTTAACGTCATATTTTTTTCTAAAAATCTGACTGTAAGTGGTACATACAATACAATGTCCTTTTACCTCTGTATCCATCCATGTGCGTTTCTTACAAACAAGGACATTCTCTTATGTAACCACAACACTATTCTCAAAATTAGCAGATGAACATTAGCACAATTATCTCATCTATCGCTCTTATTCGAATTTTGTCAGTGGTCCCATTAATATCCTTATTCTGTGACTGCGATTTTGATGAAATAACTCTCAGGCTTTTCAGGAAGGTATAGCTCAGCACATAAAAAAAGAATGTGAGCCTTATTAATTTTCAAGAAAAGGACACTGCAGCCTCCTTTTAGCTGGGCAGGCAGACATCTTCATTTCCTGAATGAAGACATCAAGTGCTATCCCTGAAGATTTTTTTCCATCTGTGCAGGACACTTGCCTGCTGCTTCTTCCTGATCCCTCAATAGACGGAAGAAATCCATGTCAGAAACATTCCAGATGTTGTCGCCTTCCTCTCACACATGATAATGGAATACTTTCCTATCTCAATTTTTAAAAAAGAATTATTCACTTAATCTTATTTATTCATTGTCATTCTTCAATTTGACCAGAGAGAGAAAGAGAGAGAAAGGTAGAATGAGAAAGCAATCCACCAAATCTGGGGCCAAAGGATAGTAGACGGTCAACCACGTGGGAGTCTAGGGCCCCAACCACCACATCCCGGACTCCCTCCCCTC